AATTAATGTCAAGAAATCGACGGCATTCTTGCACACCAGTGATGAACTCACAGAAAGAGAAACTGAAAAAACAATCCCATTTACCATTGCGCCAAAAAAATTAAGATACCTAGGAATAAACTTAACCAAAGAAGTAAAGGACCTATTTGCAGAAAACTACAGGTCATTGGAAAAAAAAATACAGAAAGATATAAAAAAGTGGAAGCACATACCCTGTTCATGGATTGGAAGAATTAACATCATTAAAATGTCCATAGTACCCAAAGCAATCTATAGATTCAATGCAATCCCCATCAAAATACCAATGACATATTTCATAGAACTAGAACAAATACTTCAAAAGTTCATATGGAACCAAAAAAGACCCCGAATAGCCACAGCAATCTTGAAAAAGAAGAACAAAGTAGGTGGGATCACAATACCAGACATCAGGTTATACTATAAAGCGACTATAACCAAAACAGCCTGGTACTGGCACAAGAACAGGCGTATAGACCAGTGGAACAGAACTGAAAACCCAGAAATGGACCCAAAGCAATACGCTCAATTAATATTTGACAAAGGTGGCAAGAGCATACAGTGGAGTAAAGACAGCCTCTTTAATAAATGGTGTTGGGAAAATTGGACAGCTCCATGCAAAAAAATGAAACTAGACCACCAACTTACACCATACACAAAAATAAACTCAAAATGGATAAAAGACTTAAATGTGACCCGTGAATCCATAAAAATTGTAGAAGAAAATGTAGGCAACAAAATTTCGGACATCATACGGAGCAGAATTTTCACTGATACATCACCTAAGGCAACACAAACAAAGGAAAAAATGAACACATGGGACTACATCAAACTAAAATCTTCTGCACAGCAAAAGAAACAATCATTAAAATGGAAGGGCAACCCACTGTATGGGAGAATATCATTACCAATGATACATGAGATAAGGGGTTAATTTCCAATATATATAGAGTGCTCATAGAACTCAACAAAAGGAAGACAAAGAACCCAATTACAAAATGGGCAGAGGAGCTGAATAGACACCTCTCCAAACAGGACATACAAATGGCCAAGAGACATATGAAGAAATACTCAACATCACTAATCATCAGAGAGAGGCAAATTAAAACAACAATGAGGTATCACCTCACACTTGTCAGAATGGCCGCCATCAACAAATCATCAAACAACAAGTGTTGGCGAGGGTGTGGAGAAAAGGAGACTCTAGTGCACTGCTGGTGGGATTGCAGACTGGTGCAACCACTGTGGAAAACAATATGGTGTTACCTCAAAAAATTAAAACTTGAACTTCCATTTGACCCAGTGATCCCACTTCTAGGAATATACCCAAAGAAGCCTGAAACACCAATCAGGAAGAATACATGTATCCCCATGTTTGTAGCAGCACTATTTACAATAGCTAAGATCTGGAAACAGCCCAAGTGTCCATCAGTAGACGAATGGATAAAAACGCTGTGGTACATATACACAATGGAGTACTATGCAGCGGTAAGAAAGAAAGATCTCTTCTTCTTTGAGACGACATGGAGAGACCTGGAAAGCATTATCCTAAGGGAAATAAGCCAAGCAGAAAAAGACAAATACCACATGATCTCACTTATATATGGAATATAATGAACGTGACAGTCTGAGGAATACAGTAGACCCAGAAACATGGAAGTAGGGCACAGACTGACATCCCTCAGAAGAGGGGGTGGGGGGGCTGGGAAGAGATAAACCACAGAACTTATATGCATGTATGCATGACCAATGGCCATGGACAACTAAGCCAGGGACGGGGCGGGGGTGGGGTGGGGAGGGGGGTGCCAATGGGGTAAAAAAGATAAAATATCTGTAACAAAAAAAATAAATAAATAATTTTTTAAAAATTAAAAAAAAAAAAATTGAACTGCTATTTGACCCAGTGATCCCACTTCCAGGAATATACCCTAAAAAACCTGAAACACCAATCAGAAAGAATATATGTACCCCCATGTTTGTAGCAGCACTATTTACAATAGCTAAGATCTGGAAACAGCTCAAGTGTCCATCAATAGACGAATGGATAAAAAAGCATTGGTACATATACACAATGGAGTACTATACAGCTCTAAGAAAGAAAGATCTCTTATCCTTTGAGACGACATGGAGGGACCTGGAAAGAATTATCCTAAGCAAAACAAGCCAAGCAGTAAAAGACAAATACCACATGATCTCACTTATCTGAGGAATATAATGAACATAACATTCTGATGAATGGGGTAGTCCCAGAGACGTGGAAGTGGGGCACAGACTGACAATCCCCAGAAGAGGGGGAGTGGGGGAGAGATAAACCACAGAACTGATATGCATGGACATGGACAACAAAGCTGGGGACAGGGTGGGGAGGGACGGGGAGAGGGGAATCAGTGAGTTAAAAAGGAGAAACATCTGTAACAAAAATAAATAAATTTAAAAAAGTTCCCTAACATCTATCTATCTATCTATCTATCCATCCTCTATATATTTATCTACCTACCTATCCATCCATCTTTCCTTCTACCCTCCTCTATTTCTTCCTTCTATGACTTCTTTTGATGACAATAACACTCTGTTTCTGTGTCTCATTGTTTCTTTCTGAATAACTCACTGCCTCTCTTCTGTTGTTCTCTCTGCCTCGCTTTGTCATATTTGTTCTTTTTTACTTTTCTCTGTATTTCAATCTATTTTCTGCCTCACTCTCTTAGTCTGTCTCTCTCATATTTCTGTCTATGTATTTGTGTCTTTCTATTTCTCTCTTTTTAAAATTTTTTTCTTTATTGATTTTAGAGAGAGAGGAAGGGAGAGGGAGGAAGAGATAGAAACATCAATGAGAGAGAACATCGATTGGCTGCCTCCTGCATGCCCCCCACTGGGGACTTGTCCACAACCTGGGCTTGTGCCCTGACCAGGAATCAAACTTCAAACTGGAGACCTCCTGGTGCATGAGTTGATGCTCAACCACTGACCACACCGGCTGGGCTATTTCTATTTCTCTCTCTCTCTCTCTCTCTCTCTCTCTCTCTCTCTCTCCCCTTTTGTGTCACTCTATGTATCTATTCCTCAATCTATCTTTACCTCTCCTTCACACACTTCTCTATGTCAGTTTTTCTGTCTGTCCTTTTCTATTTGTCTTTCAATCTCTGCTATTTTCTCTGTTGTGTGTAACTCAGAGGATAAAATTACAGGAGAAGGGCAATGATGTTTCATTTGGGGGACAGGCAAGTGCAGCTTCACTCAGAGCTACGTTTCATGATACATTTGAATGAAAATGGAAACCATGTTTTCTAATTTAGCTTATCCATATTACTCCCTTGTAAATTGTTCAGTTGATTCCAAGTTTAGGAGACAAATACAAGTGTTTAATGTTTGACTTCTAAGCCTGCAAATTAAATTTATGACTAGGACTTATTAATAACTAACCTTGCAATTTTTAAAGTTATAATTATCTGACATTATTTGTTTTAATTAAAGATGGTAATTGCCAACATTTCACTGTACCACATACTATTGAATTATATATAGTACTTGGAAATTATGTAATTGTATATTATATAAATTTCACCTCAATTTTTTTAAATGTAGGCAAAATTATGCCTATTATTTGTCAGTATTATTTACTCCCATGCCACTTCTAATGCTGATAAAGTGAATTACCACACACTTTGTGGTTTAATGTAATTCAGTTTTATTATCTTACTGTTCCAGAAATCAGAAGTCTAAAATGGGTCTCACTGAGCTAAAGCCAAGGTGTAGTCAGAGCTGTGTTTGTTCTCTGGAGGCTCTCATGGACAATTTATGTCTCTGCTTTTCCCAGTTTCTAGAGACTGCCGCACAGTCCTCGGCTTGTGGCCCCTTCCATCTTCAAAGCCAGTGATGATTGGTCAACTCTTTCCCAATGTCACATCTTTCTAACTCTGATTCTTCTGCTTCTGTCTTTTACTGAAAAGGGTTCTTATAATTACTGCCCCCGCCGCCATCATTAGGTCAGCAGATCAAAAAATATAATTCAATCTGCAATATTACTTTCCCCTTTGTTACATAGCATGTTCTCAAATTCCCAGGATTAGGACCCAGACATCTTTGAAGAGAGCCATAAGTAATCATTTCAGAAAAAAAAACAGAGCAGAAAACTAACTGTACTCACACCTCCAGGTCCCCAATGTAGGTAACTGCCTGGGAACACTTACATTCTTATCCATGATGTTGACTCATTACTAGCTAATTTCTCATTCATGGTTGAATCAACTGAACATTTTCTCTTTGTCCCTCATAAGGCTTTACATTCCAATATAATATTCTATCCAGAAACATGAATAAAGCAAATCAGCCTTTTTATTTTTATTCCTTGATTCTTCTGGAAAACAGAATTCTCACACCTTCCCACTTCTCTCCTAGCTCTGAACAACTTCTACCTTTCCCTGCACATTCTCTACTTCCAATCCCTTTACATTACTGAATTTTCCTTATATTTTTATTTTCTTTTTCATTTATTCTGTTATTTCCTCAAACACATGGGCAAAGCCTTAACTTCTTTAATGTCCCCCATAGTACTCAAGGAAGTACAATAAACTGATGACCACCAATAAATATGCCAATATTCCTTTTCTTATATTTCCAAAACTATTCAGATTAGAAAGTTTAACTAATTAAGACCATCAATAGCTATTTTTTAAAAAAATAGCATCAATAGGAAAAGAGATGTTTTTAGAATAAAGTTAAACCAGCTTTATTAAAGAAATATTTTAAGTATTTGGTATCAAGTCAGATCTATGGTGGTTTAGCTAATTCTAAATAATATAATTCCAGTATATGATTTCCACAGCATAGATCTGAAGGATTATGTTAATTTCCTGTGTATTTTTTTTTTGGGGGGGGGCAATAGTTTTCTCCTTATTTTGTAAAGTTTGGTTTTATCTCAATATATTTACATTTATTTTCTTTTATTGACTTCACAGTCTGTGTATGTACATTCACAATCTCACCAATTTCTGAGAGAGGTAGTTGGTATTCTTTTCTCATGTCAGCCAACTTAGAAATTGCAAGGAGGAAGGAAGCAAAGTGCTCTTGAATTCTGTTGTTGTATTCCTTCACCACTGCAACAAATTCCTTGGGAAGATCACTTAGAATTACCTAGGAACAATGAATCAGATTACCGTAAATATATATATTTTTAAAGCAGATTACCAAAGTCTGTGAGACACAAGGTCTTAATATATTTAAAATCTGGATGAAAAAATATGTTTAAGTATACATTTATTATTTATAAAAGTATAAATATAAAAACTAAAAAAAGCACTTGGGATTCTACTGTTACAATATGTAGATAGTTAGGTATTAATAAAGAAGGGAGCAACACTGGCTACGCCTAATTACCTAGTAAGCTACAGCTTCACAGGCACCCCAGGGACAGCTGTAATATTCTTGGCCAAAGGGACGTTCATTCTGAGCAGGCTGGAAAGACCGGTTTTCCAATCTCCCGAGGGAACAACCCGATTATAGGTTGGAAGGATAAACAGCCAGGGGGAAATTTCTTTGCTGAGTGCCTGCGCAGTAGAACCAGCTGAGGAAGCAGAACTTTGAGGCATGTGCAGTGGGAGCCAAAATGGTGACCATAAAGGGGAGAAGTCTAGCCTGGGAAGATCTGGGGAAAGAACTGGATAGAATAAGGGCACGAAACCCTAGAGGATTCAGGAAAGGGACTGGATGGGGGAGGCACCAGCATAGTCCCAGGAAGATCATGAAATGGATTGGTTAGTTTGAAAGAAAGCCTGCTCTCACCCAAGCCCAAGGAAATATCATGGAAGCTTAGCAAAGGCCAGTCTGGGTAGCAGCTACATGGGCCGAACCAAAGCACCAATCGTGGGCCGGACATGAACAGACACTGTGCTGGACTACTGGAGCCTACGATGCTGGGCTAATGGCAGAGCAGCTCTGGGTTCTGGCCCTCCTTCCAGGGTTGGTGGGGACAAGCGCAGGCCTGCAGACCGAGAGGCTGGACTTCTACAGCGAGGAGTGGAGAGACACTGCGCATGGTGTACCTGGTCCTTTGTTTTCACTCCGGCAAATCTTGCCACTATACCTCAACTCTTCCAATGCATGTATCCCTGCAATGCATTTCCTGTGATATCGTGGAAGAAGCCTATTTCCTTCAGCAACACTACCACCCAGGAATATAGGTTATAAAGATTTGGCTGTATAGTATTTTCTTTCAGTCTTTAACAGACATACTTTGTTGTAGTATTCCCTTTCTTTTCTGTCTAAAGTGTATACTCAACATTGTATCTGGAGTATTTTCTCATGTCATTTAATATTATTTGAAAAGATGAATTTTAGTAGCTGCATAATATGACCAAATACAGGTTTGCTAAAATTCATCTAACCATTCTCTTTTTGTTGAGTATATAGGTGGCATCTAGTTTTCAATTATAAATAATTGATATATTACAGTATGAATTGTGTCCCTCAAAAAAATCATATTTTGAAATCCTAAGGTTCAGAATATAGCCTTATTAGAAAACAGAGTCATTGCAGATGTAATTAGTTAAAATAAGGTCATAATAGGATGTGCCCCTAATCCAACATGACTGGTATTCTTATAAAAAGGGAAAATTTGGATAGAAAAACACACACATAGGGAGAATACCTTATGGACACGAAGGTAGAAATCGGGGTGATGTGTCTACAAATCAAGGAATGCAAAAAAAAAAAAAACCCAGAAGCTAGGAGAGAGGCATGGAACAGATTTTTCCCTGTCTTCAGAGGTAACCCACCCCGCCTAGATTTTCTGCCTCCAGACCTGAGACAGCACATTTTCATTGTTTAAGTTGAAACATCTAGTTGGTGGTACTTTGTTTTAGCCACTAAGAAAACTAATAAAATAACACTTTTACATCATTTTAATTTCTTCCAATTATATCATTTTTATAAATTCCAAGAAGGAAAAATAGTACATTAAGGAATATTTTAAAGGATGTATGTATTTACAGTGCCATCAACATAACTGTCCATTGTAATTTTTGCCATATTAACAAGTGAACTATACAGTATCTTGTTCATATCCATTTTTTACTTTTGATAGAAGTATTTTACATTTTCTCTCTTTTTTTTTTTGTCATTTGAGTACATATTAAAGCTATATATTTTATCACATCTCTTTTGCATTTGAAGACTTACTAAACTGTCATTAATTGTAATTATTCTTCTAATGATCTTTTTGGCTTTTTCAGTAGTCGACAGTCATTTCTTCTCTAAGTGAAAACAATTGTTAAAATAAGAGCTAACACTTGTTGAGTGCTTTCTAAGTGCTAAGCACTCTTCTAAGCACTTCGCATATATTAATTAATTTAATCTTCATAGCAATTCTTTGACGTAGGTACTATTATGATTCCCAATTTACAAATAAGCAACAGTCCCAGATAAAGAAATTTGCTTAAGGCTATTTATGTACTAAGTAGCAGAGCTCGGTGGGAGTCCAGGAATCACTTTGGCTTTAAATTACTCTACCATACTTAATGTTCTCTATGCTTAATAATTACATCATATTTTTAATTTCTTGTCATTTGGCAATGAGTAGAATTCCCAGAACAATAATTTCCAATGGCTGTTAAACTCAGCATTCATGTCTTCTTGTTTCAAATTCAATGTTACTGTGGCCATCATTTCACTATTAGATATAATGAATGAGATCATCTTCAAAGTAATAAAAAATCCTATGTTACTCACTTGCTAAAAATCTCTAACAGGAATACAGTTTTCTATTTTTATACAAGACCTCAATCTTTTCCTCATCTGAGAAGTCACTGTGTATACCAAGAACTGACTGAGGCATGATTAACATGTAACCCTAGTAAATGACAGCAAAACTTTGTTATTGGGAAAATAGAAATGTATTGCATGTTATAATGGAAAAAATTTACATAATATTATAAGGTTATGGTATATACAGTTTTTCTTACCACTGAGTGAGAAAATTTCTTTTTAAAGTTTTTCACACAGGGAGAAAGATACTGTCTTCCAAAAAGATGAGCTAACACCACCACTAAGGTTTCCATCACTTCTTTAGAAAAGCTCTTTTGGCCTGTTTAAAATAAGGAGTTTAATTTTTCAAAACTTTAGAGAGCAAAATTCATCATTTTAGAAATATACTGAGCCAGTTCTTAATACCTAAACTTAAAATTTCAAGGTAACACACCAAGTTGAAAGAGTCACTTTCCATATCTTTGGTAATTTTTTTTTCATTTGTTCAACAAATGTTTATGTTTTTTAGTTTATCTTTATTGTTGCAAGTATTACAGATGTCATCCTTTCTTCCCCCATTGACAAGCTCCCCCCACACACACACACACACGGGCCTTTCATGTATATATGCATATAAATTCTTTGGTTACTCTCTTCCCATCCCCACCACTCTTCCCTCTGAGATTCTTATTACTTCATAATAATGCAGACTTATTGACCTTCTACTAACACAGACTCTTGGTATCCTTGGATCCACTCTTAGCTGTAGGAATAGCAAATAAGGGGAGAAAAGAACAGCCATTGGCCTTTACTTCGGGAACTGCCCTGGGTGCCATCAGGGCTATAAACCTTCCCTTTGCTGCTTAGTTCCACCACGTGTGTTATAATGTGTCAGCAAGACAACCAGAGACGCACAGCCAAATTGTAAAGGAGCGCTTTATTCTCACCGGCAGACTGCGGAGGGCTTAGTCTCTCCCCTCAGATCAGCAGCCCCGATTCTCCTTGCTCCTCGATTTTAAAGACAGAAGCCCCATCCTTCTTCCCCGCCTCCCTCCGAGGACAGGTACAATAGTGGGTGTGACAGCGATTACAGAAGTCGAAATGAGCATTATTCACCGGGCTCAGGGTACCTGCAAATGCAAATGCCTCCCAACACGTGGGGCAACTATAATCTTAGGCAAAATTCCTTTACTTCTAGGGGTAATTAACCTGTTATTGAAAAAATATTGAGGCGGGTCCATTGATGATAAAAATGGGATTATTTAGTTGCTTCAGCCAAGAGGTCTACATAAGAATGGAATCCAGTCGCCTTAGCCTTGGGCCCAGGTCAAGTGCTTCTCTCTTCAGAACCTACTAGGGAATGAAGGCCTTGTCCAAATTCCTTGTCTGCGGAGCGTTAACCTGCACCACTCTGTCTTTGGCACACATCACGTTCCAAAGAAGCTCACAATTACCCCCATTCAACATGTTCCTGATATTTCTCTCCCTGGACTATTTGTTTCCTACCTTTCCATGTACTCAAATTCCTGCAGTATTTCAGGGACTAAATATCAAGGGAAAACCTGTGCTTGATCTCCGAGATTTAATGGGCCACCGAATCGAACCGGGTGCCATGCTCACACTGATAGCCCCTTTGAGAACTTGGAATCCAGCCACAGCTGACTAGACTTCGGGAGAAAGGCAGAGCCTGAGGGAAGCTCTCAAAGTTTAAGCAAACAAACAAAAAACCTCTCAGATAGATATGTTTATACGGATAGTATCCTGGCAAATGTTTTTCAGGGTGTTTTTTTTTATTCCTTTAATGTTGTGATACATTACTCATAATATTTATAAAATAAGTAAAATTTAGTGATGTTTATTTTCTGTGATCCTTTTAAAAAATACAGATTAATAATGGATTAAGGGCTTTATGGTTTCATATATTCGGAGTTCTAAGGTTTATTATATAATATGTCCATTATTTTTAATGTCATTTTAACAAAAGTTGGTAACTTACTAAAAATAAAATGAGCAGTGGGATAGTACTTATATATTGAAGTTCATCTAAATTTATATCATATCACTTTATTTCTCTCTATAGCAAATTAAGTTTCATTCTGTTAAAGTTATGGAAAAGAGAAAAAATAATTTATAATTTTAAAAAGTGAAAATCATGCCCTGCCTGGTTTGGCTCAGCAGTTAGAGCATTGACCTGCAGACCAATGAGTCGCAGGTTCGATTCCAGCCAAGGGCACGTACCTCAGTTGTGATTCTTCCCCAGCCTTGGTCAGGGTCATGCTTGAGGCAACCAGTCGATGTTTCACATCAATGTTTCTCTCTCTCTCTGTCTCTCTCTCTCTCCCTCCCTCCCTCCTACTCTGTCTAAAGATAAATGGAAAAATATCCTTGGGTGAGGAAGGAAGGAAGGAAGGAAGGAAGGAAGGAAGGAAGGAAGGAAGGAAGGAAGGAAGGAAGGAAGGAAGGAAGGAAGGAAAGAAGGAAGGAAGGAGGGAGGGAGGGAGGGAGGGAGGGAGGGAGGGAGGGAGAAAGATCATTACAGTGGACAACAGTAGGATGCCAATATATTCCTATGGTTTATATGTGACTTTGAACTGTTACCTTTATATTTTACTCTGATACAGCCAATGATTAGGACCTAAATGTGACGATATCACAAAGAAGCCTGGTTTTCATATCAATAAACAGATATAAAAATGATAAATGAGTGATTTTACATATATTACTACAATTTATTTCATATATATAATGTGTGTGTGTATATATGTATATATATGTATATACATACATATATATACACATACATAAAATGCTAGTTTGGTGAAGGTGGAGGGATAAGGAGAGTGTCCATGGGGGGAAAACGAAGAGGCATCTGTTATCCTTTTTTTCTATTTTTTTTTCTTTATTAATTTTTTTGTGAGAGGATAAGAGAGAGGGAGAGACAGATAGAAACATCAGTGAGAAAGAACACTGATTGGCTGCCTCCTGCATGCCCCCCACTGGGGATCAGGCCCACAACCTGGGCATGTGCCCTGACTGGGAATCGAACTGGCAACCTCTTGGTGCATGGGTCGATGCTCAACCACTGAGCCACAATGGCCAGGCTGTAATACTTTTAACAATAAAGATAAATTAAATAAATGTCTTATGATTCTAGAATAATAATACTTATTAATAATATTTATAATATAATACGAATAAATATAATTATATTTCTTATTCTAAACATTTTTTGAAATTTAAAGTACATTAAATGACCATGAAAATATTTATAGTACTTTACAAATATACCATGCATATAGTAATAATATATTTATAAACATATATAGTGATATGAAATAAGAAAACTGTTTGAAATACATTTAGAGAAAACACAGTTAGAAGGTCACACTATCCAAAGTGGATGCACTCTGGGGAATATATGGAAACATGTAAACACACATGTGGTCTGTGTGGGCGTCTGTGCAGATAATTTAATGAGTAAATATTTGGAAAAATAGTGTTTGCTTACCATTTATCTTGGTTGGAATACACAACTTATGAAACAACCCTTTCTTCAGCAAGCTTACTAAAACAAAGTTTGCAGGCTCATGGTAGTGCAAATGTGACACCAGGCCAGAGTATCCGATGGGAACGCATTGTTGATTCAGGTATTCCTAGAAATTAATTTACACATGTTGACCTTAGTCTCTAGATCTCAGAAATATCACACAAATAAGTTGTTAATAAAGTACATTTTAGTACAATAGAGTTAATCATGTGTACTAACACCTTAAGCTAGGGGAAATAGGTTTAAATCTTACCTCTCTGACCAAGAATTGCAAAGAATATATAAAGTAAAACTTTAGCATGCACTTGACATTTGGTTGATTGAAGGACATCAATGAATGTTGGAGAACTGATAATGCCTATACATACATATATCAAAATATCAAGTTAGATATTATGCAAATTTTACAGCATGTCTTCCAAATGTAACGTCCAAAAGAAAAACTAAACATTTCTATTATAGAACAGGGTGCTATATCTACTATGTACTATATATAATGCATGATATATTTTTTATATTTTTAATTGGACATTGAATATGGCTTTATTATATAATTGTAATTATAATATTCATTATAATTAGACATTCCACAATGTTTTATAATATATGTGTGTGTAATAGAGAATGGAAAGAAAAACTTGAGGGAAAGACAAATAATTACACCTTCATACACGATTGGTGAGAAGTAAAATAAGATATAAAATGTAAAATCAAGAATTAAGAATGTTTCTGTATCTTTTACATTTTTCAGCCATTAGTTATTTCTTTGAAATTTTTTTAAATGTTTTAAACCAAATATAATTGTAGAATAAAATGCTTATTTTCTAATATACACAGAGCCCGGGGGTAATTATAATAGGACAATCATAGTCTTAATTTTCCAAATGTTGGCAAGCATGAAAATTAAAGGCATGCTTTTGTGTCGAATAAGAGTACTTATAAAGCAGACTCGAATGTTACAGGAGTTTATTATAGCACATCATTACTTTATTCCCTTCAGCTTATGTAATTTATTATACAATTGAGCTTAAATAATTATATTTATGTAAGTAATTTAAATAATAGGATACAGTGTACCTTTGCTTTGGCATCCTCTTTGTCATCTGCTTTGGCAACTAAAAGCATAAGTCTGAGAACCAACGATATGCCTAGAGGAAATTGACCCTTCAGTTTGGGCACATTTGACTTTAAGAGCCTTTCTATCTTATGTAATGGAATACCATAGAAGAACACGTTTCCTATAAGATCTTCTCCACGTCTTCCTGCACGGCCAGACATCTAAAGAGATGGTCACATAACACTTAAATCATTTCAAATCTTGTCTCTATAAATGGCTCGTGTCTACTTTATCTACTGTACCACGTGAAACATTAAGTTTTCAAATATCTTGAGAGTTTTTTGTTACCTGGTATATTCATTTTAGCCAAGTTTAAAATATTATTTTATTTTCCAAATATATTATCAAAGTATATTTGGTTTTTTAGTAATGCCTATGTTTTAAGATCATGACTTTTAAAGCAGGGGCAATTTCTGTCTTATTTACCAGTGTATTTCCAGAAACTAGTCTGAACTGAGAACACTGCAGATATTCAAATTATAATTGTAGATGCTTGGCACCTTTGGGTTCTCAGAGGATGTGGTTGTCTCTTATTCATGCTATTTTTGCTTATGTTCAAAAAGATTGACCAAAGCAGGAATATTCTCAGTAAGCTAATCTATTTAGTCAGGCAGTAAGTGCTCAAAATGTCTTTAAATGTAATCATAGTCATACAATGTCATATATCCAGAACCCATTTTAAAATGTTGTGTTACTATCCAAATGTTTTAAAATATACATGATTTATCTTGGTTTTATCTTTACTAAATAGATGTTTCCAAACCCTATGTATGCAAATGTAACACAGGCAGGTTGTCTACATACCTGTCGAAAGTGCAAGGCATCCAAAAAAACAGAATCTTCCATAAAAACAACAGATTTACATGGCATATTAATTCCCAAAGCAAGGGAGGAGGTAGCTGTCATCACCTAAGTGTGAAGGGTAAAAAATAAAATAAGATAAATTTAACACAAAATGTATAAATGTATGCATAGTCTTTAAATATTGACTAGATTAGACCTCCTGAAATTATTCTAGTTGAGTAAAACTACAACAGGAAGCCAACATCACCAAAAAAAACAAACTCTACATTTTCTTTTGGAATAAATAGATAAATAGCTGTCTCATGGAGATTTACATTCACGGTAGTGTTTGCCTTAATATTATAATTATCTAGCATTTTTAGATTGTGAATCACAGCCATTCAGTAAGCTTTTAATTTTTTGCATAAATAAAAGCACTAAGGTTGTAAAAGGAATATTGCTTTTATATGAAGACATTTCTAAGAAAATAGTAAGGGATAAACTCAGAGAAATTGAAGAAACCAGATCACATCAAGCATTAAAAAACCACTCTATTTTAAAATAAGCAGGTGAAAAAAAAGGTGGGAAGGGGAGACATCTATAATACTCTCAACAATAAAGATAAAAATTGATAAATAAATATAAATAAATAAGTAAATAAAATAAGCTGACAAATAAAATAGATCCAGAGACACGAAAGTAGGAAGCAGACTGACAAACCTCAGAGGGAAAGGGGGTGGGTGGGAAGGGAGAGAGAGCCAAAGAACTGATGTAAACAATATATGCAGAACCAATGGACACAGTGTGGTGAAGGTAGGGTGGAGCAGGGAGGAGGGGGTCAATGGGGAAAAAAGGAGGGACATCTATAATACTTTCAACAATAAAGACAAATTAAAAAACAAAACACTCTAGTCTTGGCCAGGTGGCTCAACTACAGTATTGTCCTGTGAATCAGTAGGTTGTGGGTTCGATTCCCAGTCAGGGCACATACCTAGGTTGCAGATTCGATCCCCAGCCCCTGCTGTGGCCGTGCAGAAGGCAATCAATTGATATGTCTCTCTCACATCGATGTTTCTCTCTCCCTTCCTCTCTCTCTCAAAAAATCAATAAAAACATATTTTTTAAAAATGTTTTAAATGTTCCTCTTAATTACAGTTACTAAGTTCATATGCATCAGTTTACTTAATATAATTGTTATACTTGAGAATCTGGCTACGATTTTATACTGTTAGTCAATGTTTTAAATCCTTTTGTCTGCTTTCTCGGTTACTTTTTGAGTCGTTCAGATGTTTTCTATGCCATTTATTTTTCCTCTGTAGTTTGCATGTGGAACACTCAAAGTTTGTTCTTTCAGTAGGTACTGACAAATTTACATAACTGTACATATATTACAAAAGTCCAAAATTAATCATAATTTTATCTTCCCTTTAGACATTATCTCAACCTCTGATTCTGAAATATACACTATTCTAACATATTTTCCTTTTTTTATTCCAAAGTTTTACTTTAATTCAATAACAAAAGTTTTCATTTAACCATATTTGCATTTTTCTAGGATTATTCTTTGATATATTTTTAATCACCTTTCAGTTTCCTGAAATTAGTTCCATTTTGCCTAATTCAGAATTTTTTTTTCAAGCAATGAGGCAAAATGGCAAATACTCTCAGTTTTTATTGGTCTAAAATTCTCTACTTTGCCCTCATTCTGGAAAACTAATTTTGCTGTGTATAAAAAGCTAAGTTGGAAGTTACTTTCTTTAAGTTTTGAAGGTAAAATTTCACTTATTTCTGGCTTCCATTTTACTTTTGACAAGTCAGATGTCACTCTGTTACAGTAATCTATTTTCTCAAGTGATTTTAATGTACTTCATCCTCAATGCTGCTTCCTTACACAGTATTGCATATATTAAAATATCTAAATTAAGACTAGCAGAACTACAAAGAGAAACAGAAAAAGTTACATTAAGAGTGAGCAATTTTGGTCCATCCAGCCGGTGTAGCTCAGTGGTTGAGCATTGACCCATGAACCCAGAGGCCGCCAGTTCAATTCCCAGTCAGGTCACATGCCCAGGTTATGGGCCCAATCCCCAGGGAGGGTAGTGCAGGAGGTGGCCAATCGATGTTCTCTCTCATTGATGTTTCTATCTCTCTCTCCCTCTCACATCCTCTCTCTCTAAAAAATCAATAAAAAAAAAATTTTTTTTTTTAAAAGAGTGAGCAATTTTAACACTTCCTTTTCTCAACAATTTACTTTTAATAATTGACAGAAGATACAAAATTTACCAGTAATACAGATTTAAATTAAGAAGCCTCACTGTAATCAGCACTTACAGAACACATATTTTAATGCATATATAGAACAAGTTGCTAAATAAACTTTATTTTTAGAACCCTTTCAGATTTACTGAAAATTGCAAAGATAACACTAAGTTCCTATACTCTACACCCAGTTTCCCCTATTGTGAACATCTTAAATTGGTCCAGTATATTTGTAACAATTAATGAAAAATATTGATACATTATTATTAACTAAAGTTCACACTTTTCCCAGATTCCCTTAATTTTTCCCTGCTGTCCTTTTTCTGATACCCAGGATATCCCATTACATTTGACAGGCATGTTGCCTTTGACTCTTCTTAGTTGTAACAATTTCTCAGGCTTGTCTGAAAGAAATCAGGGCTCTTTGGAGACATGACTTTTTCTAAGACTGGGGCAAGAAATATACCAGATGAATGAGCATCCTACTTTGCCAGAAAGTAAGGACGTGCTCCAAAACAAACAATGCACAATAACGGAAGCGTGCCCAAGGGTTACGGGAAGCAGGTGAACGGGCACCCAACTGCCAGAAGAGGAACAATCCGAACAAGAAAATAAGTCAAGGAGCATTGAATGATAATCCAAAGCATAACATATTGATTATAAATAAATGTTGGATACATAAATGAACGAGAAAGAAGAGACACAGCTCTTGTTAGAAGAATTCTAAGTAATTTATGTCGATAACTCCAACTATAAGGAGGTAAAGCAGAACTGAATGACCTACTCTTTAAGTGTGTGGGATCTGCATAGTGGCTTCCTTTCAAGGAGGGCAGCATGGAACGTGAAATGAAAAGGGAACTTTGCAGTAGAAAAGTCTGACAAGTAGGATCTCAGCCAGGTGCTGAAGATTGCCATCCACAGTGCTGTCATGCCCATCGTCTCTAGCCCCGAGACAATATGATGAGAATGGCACATTCCCTCTGTGGTCCTCCTTCAAGAAACATATAGATCCCGTGTGATCATGAGAAAAACATCAGAGACATTCCAACTGAGAACAGTCTACAAAATAGCTGATCAATTATCCTCCCAACCATCAAGATCTTCAAAAACAAGGCAAATCTGAGAACTGTTACCACCAGGAGAGCCTAAAGCGGCCTGACAAATAAAAGGCTGCATCCTGGGTGGGACTGTGGAACAGAAAAAAAACAGCTGAGGAATACCTGAGGGAGTCTGAACAAAGAATCAACTTTACTTAATAAAAATGTATCAATATTAGCTAATTATAACACATGTACCATACTAATGCAAGATGTTAATAACTGGGTGTGTGGTATATAAGATACTTTCTACACTATTCACAACTCCTTTTTTTATCCATAATGCTCAAAATTTGACAAGGTAAAGTAAACAAATATAGTCAATCTGGAAAGAAAGGTAGCAACGTATTTCTCTAGGCTGAAAATTACGTTTGCTCTTTGAAATAGTTATTTCACTTTTCAGAATCAGCAGATCCCATCAACATTCAGAAATGATGACATATGTTTATGAACAGAAAATGTCAACATTAGCCGAATATGTAAATGAATTATATATGTATATTATGAGGCACTGAAAAATGTTTATTATGTAATGCTAATTAATATACTCTTAGGCAAAGTATACAGGATCCCTAACTGCATATACATTATTTATTAACTATGTAAAATGTATTTAAAAGAACAGAATATAACATGCTACAATGTTAGCAGCACACCCCTCCAGTGGAAGGATTATGGGGAGACAGATAGAGTAATTCTGCTATAAACTGTCAGGGAACATTTCCCCCTCTTGCTCCGGCCACAGGAATGAAGGCACTGCTTTTAGGAAAGTTATCCTCAAAGTTCACCAACCTTGACGTGCTTCATTCTGAAAAGCATCTCTACAACTTGTCTTTGTCTGTGTTCCATGGCACCGTGATGATATCCAATGCCCCGCTTTAACAGACTTTTCAGTTTGTAACTTTGTCTTGTTCCTCTCAGTCTGAGTAAGATCTTTGTTAAAGTCTGAAATACCCCAAACAAAGAATCTAAAGTATCAAATTAAAGCATTTATCCTTCAACGTATCGATGATGTCACATGTAAAAAGATTACTTAAGAATCATTGCAGAGTTGGACACACTTCTAAAAATAGCCAAAGACTATTTAAACTACAAAATGCCCATTATATGGTATTTTAGTAGAATGGTTTCATAGTACTCGACATTCAAAGCTTGATATCTGTTTGATACAAGCAAATGCAACCCAATTATATATGTGGTGATCCTTTCTTCACCCATTTCTTCACCAGGAACATGCACCCCATTTTCTTTCCCGTATCCACTGAGTAGCTGAGGCCTAGCTTTGGTCCCCAGTGTTTAATCCCTGGTTACAGCTCTAATGGACTGAACTAAGGGGTCCAGCCCACCCTGGGGCCATGAAGAAACACTGAAGGGAAAGCATAAGAGGTGGGTGAGGGACCAGCGTGCCCTGAGGTTAGTACCCAAACCCATCCCTGCTTAAATTCTCAACTTAGTCTGACTTGCTACCAACCCAATTTTGTTTTATTTTTATTTTTGCTGTTAATGCAAATCTAACTTACTGGATTTCTTTCTTATTATCACTTCTAGTCATATCTGACCAGTGTGTGTTTTTTCTCTCCGTATCCCTCTCTGTCTCTCCTTTTTCTCCTTTCTCTCTCTCTCTCTGAAACTCCCTGTGTTTATTTCTGTACATATCTTTGTTTATCTCTGTCAGTTACTGTCACTGTATCTCTCTCTTCTTTTTTCTCTTTTTCTCCCCTGTTCTCTTTTTCATCCTGCCTCTCTTTTTCCCCCTCTCCCATAATTTAAGGAACGAAAAAAGCATAAGCAAGTAATAACCACATTTCTCTGTCTATGACATGAACAATTTGGTCAACCAGCAAGCATTTTATGACTAACCATTGTATAGGGTGTCTATTCATGTCCCAGAGTTAATTTTCTGAATGAGTGGTGGCATTAGGGAGAAGTATAAGACAATCATAACTCCACAGTTTCCAGTTTGAAGAACTTGATACAAGGTAGGTAAAAAACAGACAAGGAAAAATTTTCAGAAGACAGACAAATATGATTTTGAGGTTGGTTCTTTTAGCAAGTTGTTACTTAAGCCTATAGCTTAGAAAAAAGATTTTACGTTTAATTTTTATGTATCTGTCTACATAAAGGAATAGTTATAAACTTCAATTAATAAAGACAGTTGCATAGATACTGGAGTTATACTTTGGCACAAATCTTCAAGCTGCTTTTAATAACTGTATAAACTCATACAAATTATCTTAAGTTCTCCAGCCTCCAACTGTAGTCTCCCATCTATTGCTTCAAGTTTAATATACATTAAGTATGTTGTGTTTTATACATTCTATATCAAAGTATAGACACTGTATACTTTTTATGTGCTAAATTGTGTGTCTCCAAAAGCTCTTATCCAAGTCTTAACCCCCAGTACCTCAAGATGTCACTATATTTGAAAATAGGGTCTTTACAAATTCAATTAAAATGAGGTTATTAGGATGGGCCCTCATTCAACATGACTAGTGTCCTCACAGGAAGAGAGAATTTGGACACAGACACATGAAAGGGAAAATAATAAAAAGATACAGAAAGAAGACGGCCATCTGCAAGCCAAGGAAAGGGATCTGGAACAGAGCCTCCCTCATGGCCTCGGACGGAACCAACTCTGACAACACCTTGGGCTCAGACTTCTACTCTCCTGAACTGGCAGAAAATAAATTTCTAACTTTTAAGCCACTCATTTTGTGGTTCTTTGTTACAGCAGCCCTGGCAAGCCAATGCACACACCTGAATGTATCCTTGTTTCTTTTCTTTTACCTGATTATCCACAACTGTACGGTCAGCATAAGTACAGTCTGGAGAAGCTTCATAAAACTTCTTAAGGTTTTTTTTAATTTCCTTTATTTCAGCTCCCAATACAACGATTCTTTGGATTCTAGCACCTGAATCTGAATTTAAAAAACTGAATATAAAAAGTTAAGAAAATGAGTAAATATATTGATTATAGCATGTTCTTTTATTTATTTATTTATTTTAAGTTTGAGGTTATGTATATAAATGCCAGATGAAAAGAATTTCAGGTAATTCAAACCCCAAACTGAATGCCTCTATTAGAGAATATTCATCAGGTCTTCATTTCCTCAATTGTCTCTTTATCAGCTACCATTTAAGTATACTTTAAATATCTGCATTAAGCCTGGCTGGTGTGGTTCACTGGTTGAGCATTGACCCATGAACCAAGAGGTCACCGGTTCGATTCCCGGTCAGGGCACATGTCCAGGTTGTGAGCCAAATCCCCAGTGGGGGGCATGCAGGAGGCGGTCGATCGATGTTCTCTCTCATTGATGTTTCTATCTCTCTCTCCCCCTCCCTTCCTCTCTTTCTAAAAATCAATACAGAAAAAGTATTTAAAAAATAAATATGTGCATTAATATGCATCTAATATGAAACAGAAAAACCTTCTGCACCTCTCCCATATCCCATGCCAAGGAAATTTTAATTTATTTTCAATATCCAGTAGAACAATATTTTTACATTAAATTTAGAGGAAATTTTTTAAAATTTTCCTGATAACTACATATAAATGCAAATTCATTCTAGTTGAAGAATAAAAAAAATGTATCTGCCAGACTCCTCTTTTTAACATATATTGTAATTTATTTTCTGTACATGCCAAACTTAGCCTTGAGAGATGATTAGAGTACTTCTCAGTAAGTCATTGGGTGAAATGACAAGCAGAGGAAGGGTGACCAGCCTGCCGGGCCATTAGAATGGGCCTGTATTAGCCATTCCAGTTGCAATTTCACTCTTTTAAGATCAAACCTATTCTATAGGACACCCTATCTCAGAATTATAGCTGAAACAGTCAGAAAAGACCAATTTACTGCGTTATGGTTATTATTTCTCTCAAGAGTAGGTAAGGACAAATACTAAAAAAGAATGCTGAGTAAGGGTGAGAATTGTGTAAGTATTATCAAACAAAGTTATGTAATAAAATTTATATATCATGTTTTCTGGGTTAATTTGCACATTAGAATGAAACAAAAATAGAGGCACTTCTTCACATATTTGTATAATTTATGTTAAGACAATAAAGGCATAAAAATATGAACAGCATATTTCCTGTATTATATTCAAAGACAAATGTGTTAATGAACTTGTTCTAACTAGTTAGCTGTTTGATATTTTAATGGCTACCTTTGAGAAGTGAATATAAACAATTGCACAATTTATTTTTAGCAACTTTGCAAACTTGCAATTTCTAAAAAAAACAAATCTATAATTTGCATCTCTAAGAAAAAAGGAAAGAAGTTAGTACAATGAAGAAAACTAATGTAGACTATTGTATAATTATTAAAATGCTCATAAAAGCCTCTTTTGGATGCCTCCCACAATGTGAAGTATAAATAAATGAACTTTATGTGTCATAAAAAGAGAAAAAAGTCACATCATCATGTTATAAAAACAAGTTTGAATTATAGAAACAGCTGAACATTCATACGTTTTATTAAACATTTAAAATTCCACAATTCAAGTAAAAAGACTCACGCAGCAATGTTTCTCTTTTGAGATTTTCTTGCTTTCCGTAGTTTCTTGTGCAAAATTTTCTTCTCTCTTTCAGAATTTGTATCATAACAAGAATATTGTTTGCTTATTAAATTCGTAAAAAGTTGTGAAGCTGACCTTTCCACTGAGTGAATGTTAAATCTAAATAAAAAATACATGAGAATTTTTAATACTTGCATGTTCTTATCAATCTTAAATATACCTCATATATCTTATACATAGCTTATAGATATATTTCAAATCTGAAAGAGATAGATTGTATATATAATCTCGTAACCTTTATTCATAATCTACCTTTAATTTGTTTGTTTGCTTTGGGGATCTCATTTTGTTTCAAATGGGACGGAATAAATTAGGTCTAGGTCTCCTCCCTTCTCCTCCTTGTCTAGAATATCTACACTTTGAGTCCCAACGCTTTGTAAAAGTGTCTTTAACTACCCTAGCCATTGTTTTCTTCACCCACTAAATTCTGAAGCACTTAATGTCTTTATCACACATTTATTTAAAATATACATTATGTTACACTGTTGAGGGACAGAGTACACTTTACAATTAATCATTTACTGTTTTATTCTCCTATGTCCCCAGAGGTGACAAATATCTCCTCATACTCACTATTAACACCTAGAGAATGCCTTGAATACTGAAATGTTAAGTAGCTGTTTATATATTGACTGGCTAAACTACTGAATCTGTTTCAAGGTCATATACAGCGACTCTTCCAGCGACATCAATTCCTCAAGGGCAGTCATGGCAGATTGCTGCTGCATCCCTGAGTCCTGGGCTTAGCACCAAGGAGCAAAGAAAAATAAACTGAATGTGAGCTCATTTCATCCATCTAGATTGATTAAATATTTCCCAAAGGAAAAATCATTATTTTAAGTATAATGAAAACATGATTGCTAATTATTTGATGTTGATACTAAGACCCAGCTTACTTTTCTTCTAATGCTCTGAAGGGAAAAAGAGAAAAAAGGTAACTAGCAGGCCGAAGGGCTTCCCTTTTTAGTTTACATGTAACCAGTTTTGCAAACAACCTACAAAACAAATACAGCAAGGTCATATGTATACACATATGTATGTTATATGTGTGTGTTAGTGTACATGCTCTCTTTTGGCAAATGGGCACTCTGTTTTATTGTTTTTTTTTCCTTATCTTTGATGGTATATAGAATTTTTCTAATAACTGGTGGGACAGAAATTCTACAGTACTAAACTATACAATTAGATTTTGAAGTATAATTTAATGAGAGGTGTTCCTTCCTCTTATCCTATAACCAACTTGGTATTAGAAATATGACTTCAACATAAAATTTCTCAAAATTTGGCCCTGGCTGGTTTGGCTCAGTGGTTAGAGCTTCAGCCCATGGATCAATGAGACACGGGTTCGATTCTAGCTAAGGTCGCGTATCTCGGTTGCGGTTCATCCCGGGCTCTGGTCGGGGTCGTGGAGGAGGCAGCCAGTTGATGTGTCCCTCTCACATCGATGTTTCTCTCTCTCTCCCTTTCTCTCCCTCTCTTCTACTTTATCTGAAGATAAATAGAAAAATATCCTCAGGTGAGGATTAAAACAAAAAAATTTCTCAAATTTTACCCTGGCAGGGTACCTCAGTTGGTTGGAGTGTTGTCCCATGCACTCAAAAAAGGTTGTGGGTTTGATTCCCAGTCAGGGCACATACCTAGGTTGCAGTTTGATCCCAGGTCAGGGTGCATACAGAAGGCAACTGATTGATGATTTTCTCTCACATAGACACTTCTTTCTCTCACTCACTCTCTCTCTCCCTCCCTTCCACTCTCTCTAGAATCAATAAAAACATATTCTTGGGTAAGAATTAAAAAACTTTTTTTTCAAAAGCCTACTAATATGAATTGGAGGTTATATATATTCTTCTTCAATCATTGTCTTAAAAAGTATTCAAATTCATAGTTTATTAAGTATAACCTTAAGTAAATGTTACTTACGAAAAAAATATTGCAGGCAGCCTATTCATTTCTTTAAGTTTTTCCACAAAATTGGGAAACATTCTTTTTTTTTCCGTTTCTGCACTGTCAAAAGTCTGAGGCGTAAGGTACTTCAGTAACTGATTCACCTGAATAAAATTATCATAAGTAAAAGATACATCATAAAGTATTTGTTATTGTGACGAAAAGATGATTTAATCAGCTAGCATATGTGACTGGAAATCAAATTGGTGAGGCTTAGCCTATTTTTATGGAGTAAATTAGAAATTATATCTAAGTCATGCATATTTTTAAATAGAATTAAAATCTGAGAAAACTTGAATGATATATTTCTACAATATTGTAATCGTTGTCTATGTACTATCATGGCATGGTGTGTGTGCATGGAGGTAGAGATTGTTACAAACTGATGTTGGTTATTTATAGAGTGAACACAGGGTATGGTAAGTAGGACTTAAACATAATGGAGTCAAAATTGCTCAAAATATACAGATCAGATGTTATACAGTTGTTCAGATTCATCACCAAGTTAATATTGAGGGTGAAGGGTTGAGGAGGCAAAAACAACAGGTGTATACCATGCTTGTCCTGGAAAAGCTAAGAAATGGGAACAAATACAATTATGTCAAAGTATTCAGCTAACTCCTCAAATGTTTAGGAACCCAGCTGTGAGAGACACAACAAATCAGTACTAACCGGATCATCTTAAATGTTGGGATTACATCAGTGCGCCGTTTAATATAAGCTCAAGGAGAAATAAAGCACAAGGAAACTCTTCTAGTTTTCCAAACTATATGTACCATGTTTCCTTATATTTTTGTTTATGTTGAATTACTCAGTGTATATGTCATGAATAAATAAACCATAAAAATTTTTGAAGAAAAAATATATGAACAATCTCTGCTCCATTATCTCATTTCTCCCACTCCATCAGCAAACTCACCCTAAGGAACACCAGGCAGATCCTTCTGCAGCTATCACAAGGTGGAGGTTAATCCACTCCACAAGAACCTGACAATTCATCCTGCCCTGGCCTGCGAGAGGACCCCCCACTCCAAGCTCAATCAATAGCTCTAGCTTCAGTAAAGGAAGCAGCATATTAAAGAAAATTTAAATGAGGAGGGTTGCTTCCTTTATGATATGGTTGCCCAATATTTTGAGAAAAAGTAGATGAGTTTAAGTTATAATTGCCTTCTAAAATAAAATTAAAAAAAAAAAATACACACCACTCTTCAGAGGACTAAATAGACTACAGAACCTCCACAATATAAGATTTATGGTCCAGAAATAACAAAAAGAAGACAATTCCCCCAAATAACAATATATAAAGAACAAGGGAAATATGATCCCTTCTCAAGAGAAAAAAAATTACCCCAGATAAACACAAGAGATTACAAAGATGTTGGATTTAGCTGATAAGGACTTGGAAGTAGAACAATAACCCCAGAATAAGAAGTTCTGAAAAATATAAATAAATAGACTCAGTGCCAAGAGTCTAAAAGAGGAAGAAATATGAATTTTAAAAAATAATCAACTAGAAGAGTAGGAAAAAATACAAAGGAAAAGAAAAAAGAAAAAAAAAAGAAATTTTAAACCATGAGACCTACAATAAATGTTCTTCCTGAATATAGTAAAGCTAGACTTTCTAAAGAAACGGCCTTTCGTGAACTTTAGAGAAACAAGAAAACATTATAGATACCAACACAGAAAAAAAAAGATTGTTAATGACTCTAAGACTCAAGTATGTCAGCTATGTCTTGTTAAATATCTGCTGAGAAGTCTCTCAATTCATAATGGGAAAATGGGTTGATGTCCCCATCAGTATAAAATTGTATCAAAGCCATATCAAACCACAAAGAAATGATATAACTAAAAAGGCAAAACAACGACAGGTTTATCTAATAAAACAATTGTGATAAGGTAATATTTATAACCAGCTTTGAATTAAAAATAATGAATATGGAATAAAATGATATAGCAAGAGAAAAAGCTGTCCACATAAATATTGACAAAAAGCAGAGTTTAGTTTAACTGTGCCAAAGGATGCCTGGTAAAAAATAAAATTGAGAAATAATTTTATTAATTTACTCATTTAACTGATATTTTATATATGTATAACCTCCTACCTGTCTACAAAAAATATTTTAAACAAAATATCTAAAATTAAAAAAAATCAGGGAAATAAATGTTTAAAACGAAAAATTTAGGTGAAAAGAATGTAAAATGTCAACAAAAGGTATTAGACATAATAGGTGAGAAGAGAATTTTCATGTTATGAATGACACAGCTTATTGCCACGAGGCATGTCATAAGTTCAAAGGGAAAGAAATGTATCACTTGTGCCTACTGGAGAGTATATTGGATGGAACTAATTAGAGCTTAGAGATTTGCTACCTCCTAAAATATGGTAAGTCAAGAGGACTAAGTAAAATTAAGTTTGAGCTAGGCTGGTATCTATATATCCCAGTGTGTTAAAAGCCAGATAATAGCAATCATAGATCAAAGATTCTCAACCATGTCTGCACTTTAAAAGTTCATAGAATATTATTTCAAAATTCTAGTGCCCCAGCCCCACACAAAGCCAATCAAATCAGAATAAGCTGCATTTTTTTAAAATAAGCAGCTAGTGTCAATACTTCTATTTAATATAGTAGCAATTCTTGACTTTGAGTGGTTTTCAGATTTGCAGATGACATAGTCTGCCCAAGTCAGTGAGCCATTTAAATTAAAAAAACACACATAGGTTCTTTCCCATGTGGAAAGAGAATGCAGAAAATAGCGATGGTTTGAAATTCTGCTTTCATTACCTGAATCACATTGATTAAGAAGTGATCTTAACCACAACTTTGGGCCCCAAGAAGTCAAAATTGTTTGATATCACACGTCAGGATACATCAATGAGTTTGACTATCTTCCTTGCCTTCTAACTGTCTGGTGGAATCAGCCCTGGGTAATGATGGACATGTGCCATTGCTTGTATCATTGAGATACTGTAGTACCCATTTTCAGGAAGTAAAATATCATCAGGATTTTATCATCACAAAAAAAGTTAAGTCAAATAACAGAATTTGTAATAAGGTAAGTTAAATAATACTTCTAGTTACTTCTAGTTTCTTTTGCCTACCCAACTAGTTGGCAACAGAAAGAGATTGGGCTTTCACTTATTCAACTAAGTAAATAGACAAAAGGTTTTCATTGGAGAAATATTAGAGAAGAAAATCAGGGTAACGACCCAATGGTATCAGAAATTGAAAAAGTCCTGTTTTCTTTTTTTTTTGTATATATAATTAACATTTATTAATTAGATCATTTTTAAAAGACAGAACTAATTAGAAAATGAATCAAATATTAATAAATGAATTAAAAGGACATATTTTTGAAGTAAAAAGTATATAATAGATGGGTAAAGTATACACCATTGAATAGTAAACAAATTTTTTAAAAGCTGAAAAAATTAACCAAACAGATGAGAATAAAATTGAAAAGTGATGTGTAGGGTACATTGAGAACATACAATGCATATCTAAAATCATTATTCCAATAGAAGATTGCATTAGTTACATATTACCACATAAAAAAATAGGGAAAAAAGTCCTGTTTTCAATGAAAAGCATTAGCCCAACATGAGATTCAGAAAAGATATGGTACCAGCATGTGTGGGTTGTCCAAGCTGGAGCTCAGGTAATGATTCTTTGCATTTCTCCACATCTAGCTAGCTAAATTCAAGCTAGAATAGCAAATCACGGCAATGGGGTATTCATCTACACATCCTTGAGAGCTTTATGGGTGATTTCCCCCTGAACCTAAATGGACACATCAGATCCATTTCACATCAATCTTAAATTTAAAGAAATCCTAAATTGTTTTAGTAACCTTGCTTGGGTCCAGCTGAATCCAACGAATTATTTCCTTTTTCAGTTCCTCTTCGTATTTCTTGGCATCTGCCTTCATAATTACTATTTTATTTTTGAAGCAGCTGAATTCTTCAGGTTCTAACTCCTTGATAAAAAAGAACCACAAATACCAAGAAAAATGAAGTCATCATCCTCTCTAAAGTTTTCCATATACACCATTATGAAGGAAATCTCTCAAGCAGTTATCCATATTCAGTTACAGAATTAACTGTGGATAGGCTGACAATTCTGTTCTCTATGTAATGGTTGCATATTATTCTGTTTTCATTAGAACATAACACATAAATGTTTTTAACATTGCAGTTAGCTTTAGAGCTAAAAGAAATAAAAATTTCCAAAATGTTTATTTTCAAAATGTGCGTGTGTGTATACTTATATATATATTACCCTGGCAGGGCACTGTTCTAAGCATTTTACAAATAACAATTCTGTTAACCTTCATAATACAACAACAAAGTAGATATTTTTTGGTTGAGAAAATAGAGAAAATTTAACTATTTTGCACAATTCTGGAGCATCGTGGCTCTGGAGTTTAAATTCTTAACAATGTAATGTGCTTCATTTATCTAAACAAAAATAAATACCATTTATGAATGTGTTCATTATTGATGGACTGCCATAGCCAAAGAACTAGAGATATCAGCCATAGAATGTATATATTCACACCTGCATCCTTGTCCATTCTGGCCAAACGTGTACCATTGCATCATAAAGCAGTATGCTTTCCCGTGGAGAAAACCCAAGGTCTATAGGAATTCCATATTTCTCTATCTAAAAACCATAAAATACAAAATTATTAATTTCATATCCCATATATATTGTTAACAATCTGGATACATACTCATTTTTCAAAGTGGTTTATACTCACATGGTTGACTGTGAGTGCAGCACATGGGTGATAGTGTTCAATGATAAAGTCATTATCCTTTAGGGAACACACATACTTTTCTATATCATTGTATCGCTCTTTGTACCAGACTGTAAAGATAGGATTGAAATGATCATTAAGATCTGTTTGCTTTCAAAACAATGACCCAATTATGATTTTGCAATAATAAGCAGGCCTAGGAAGAGCTATGCATGAGCCCACCGCCAATAAAACATTAGAAACATTGCTGTGCATTGGGAAGAACTTTGAAAGAGTATTCAATGTATCTATATGGGGTATCTGTGCTTTATTTTCTTCCTAGTCTTAATCTTCAATTATATTATATCATTGTTTTTCAGTTCCTGGTATTTAATTATTATTTTCTAATTTATTTCTCTATGTAATTTTGTAAAGCATACGTTTGTGTAATGGGACATGGGATAAATAAACAGAGATATAGATACACAATTAATTAGGAACATTGGGTATCGCTATTAGTATTACTATTATTATCTTATCTCTCTATCTTTAAAAATAATATTACCGAGTCAAAGAAAGAATAGATGTCTTATTCTTTTTTTTTTTACTTTTCATTTTCTTTAATCGAAGAAGCTGATAGTCTAAATATCTGTATTAATATTACACTTGGTTATATTCTTAGCACTACCATTACTTAACATGCTATTTATTTTATTTTATTTACTATTCATCTTGTTTAATCTCTATGTCCACATTAAAATTTAAGCTCCAGAAATGCAAAGAGTTTGTTTTCTATTGTAATTCTAGGAACAACAATGAGACCTGGCACACACCAGGAATTTTAATATTTGTTAAATAAAAGTATGAGTTTCACATACGGAGACCTGTAACTTTCAGTTGAAAGTAGCCAGAAAAATATAATATTATATTACTTCATAAAATTCTTATGAAAAAAGCCATGAGTATATAAAGTATAGCAACATTCATGAATTTAGCAGTCAAATGTTTAGAGTACATGTAAAAGAAAAGACACCATGATATAATAAATTATATATACCATTATCTATTGATTTAAATATATATATACATATCTATGTATGTATACATACATTTAAAATGTCTTGTGTTTTCCAATGAAAATAAGACATATTAAAATAGTTACAATAGACAGTATGATACGTCATGATGTAGAATATACTATGGGACTTGACCTAAAAGAATCAGGGTTGTACTTGAGCTGTGCCTCTAGACAATCTCTCTTAAATAATGAATAGATAGAATTTGAATCAAGTGTAAATGAAAGGTTATTCCAGAAAAAGGAATTTAAAAAGCAAAGGCAAGTGTTGAGGACCAAAGAATAACCCAAATGTCAAGAACATTCATGAAAAGAAAGGTTACTGGGGTCTGCCACAGGGATGATAGCACAGAACTAGACCACAGGTGAAACAATATTTGGAAGCAATGATTTTTCAGCAAACCAAAACTCAACTGCCCTCCAGAAATGTTTTAGCCTTTAATTTATTCTTACAAAAATAGGGAGTGATACATTTATCTGTGCTACAATTCCATCTTTAACGACACTGAATTATGCAGAAATTCACATTATTTTAAAATAGATTATCTTCCCAAAGAGCTTGATCTTCAAGTTTATTAGGTCCACCATTTGTTAGCTGTGTGGGGTTCAGCATGTCACTTAATCTTCTAGAGCTAAGACTCTTATTTAATTTCCTTTGCATCTTAAAACGAAAATATATCAAAACAGGCTCTCTCTAGATACACCTGTCTCTCTTCTGTTTGTTAGTTTATTTTGTTCATTAGATTCTACATATGAATGAAATTATATGATAGAAAAAATTGATTTCCCTTCATATTTGTAGTAAGAATCAAACTGTTCTACTTATTTGGCTGACAGCTGTCGACACATGGAGGGGGTTTGGGGGTGTGTGGAGGGATTGAGCAAAAAGAAAAAAGAGAGAAAGAACTCATTGATTCAAGCAACAGAGTGGTGATTACGGGGTGTGGGAGCAAGGGTGCGTAGAGGAAGAAGAGGGTATGGGGAAATAAATGGTGATGGAAAAAGATAAAAGAAACTTTGCCAAAAAAATGATTTCCCTTTAGATTTGTAGTAAGGATCAGATTGTTTTACTTATATAACATGCCTTAATATGTTACAAGCAGGTAGAGAGTGCTCAATCATTCTGAACGCCCATTCTCCTAGGTTAAGCTAGTCATACCCAGTCTAACTCTGTATGATGACTTTTCTGTTCTTTTTCGTTGTTGTTTCTTTGAAACTTTCAAGGCATTTTGTGATGGACCAGAATTTTCCATTGTGCTTTCAACATGTTGCCAGTATCTTTTAACTGACACCAACCATCTAGATGTTAAAAATATAAATATATTATCATCACAGAAAGAAAAATCATTTGTTTTCTAAGTCATTAAAAATTGATTCCAAGAGAATAAGAAATTTTAAACGTTATACATATTAAAACTATATTTATATTCACATAGCTTAGTTCATTATTACTTTTATGCAATCACCACAAACTGATACTTTGAGGTTTCTTATGAAATTTATCTACCCAATAAAATGGTTATCTCCATTTCTGCTATATGTGTTGATTCATTTTGAAAACATGTTTGGTGTTTTGCATTGGAAAGTAGTGTGCACAGTGCATTGGAAAGATAGTTCTAAACTGCCTTATGCTGTTCTCTGAGAATCTAAATATCAAACTATAAACAGGAAAATTAAATCACTCTCACACAAAATTCTTGACGAACTAGTATGTAAATTATGTCTAGTCAAAGGATGAGAGCAAATGTTTTATAGTTAAATATAACAAATTTTGAAGAAAATAAGTCTTACTTGAAGAGTTTTGTTTTGTTTTAGAAATTAGTAATCTATGACTACATTATTGATTGTTATTATCAGTATCATTAATAGCTATGACAATAAATGCAAAACTCAGGCTTACTCAGTGAGATGTTCAGGATTACTGATAGTAGCAGAAAGTGCCAGAAAGGGACACCGAATCATAACAAGAAGATGTTCCCAAACTTCTGCTCCAATTTCTCCCCCAAGACAGTGAACCTGGCAGTGTGGTAAAATAAACTCAGTATAAAATCAGTTACAATTTATTTTTCAAAATACTTATAGATTATGCTACCAGAACTTATTTCCTTCTTTCCGTATCCAGTAATGTTTATTTACCACTGATGAAGGTGGTCAAAGAATTCCAACATGATTTTGAGAAGAATTAAGCTGGGTTTGAGAATAATATGTTGAGAGATGACTTGCTCTATTATGCATGATGACAGCTGAAGTGTGAAAAAGATGATCACATGACATTGTAATGATACTCATAAGCAAAAACAAATTGAGCAAAAAACATATATATATATATATACACTTTGTAAGTCTTTTTTTTTTTTTTTAAGTTTTTTTTTCTTTATTGATTTAATTAATTTATTTTTTTGTTACAGATATTTTACCTTTTTACCCCATTAGCACCCCCCACCCCACCCCCCCTCCACCCTGTCCCCGGCTTAGTTGTCCATGTCCATTGGTCATGCATACATGCATATAAGTTCTGTGGTTTATCTCTTCCCACCCCCCCCACCCCCCATCCCCTCTTCTGAGGGATGTCAGTCTGTGCCCCACTTCCATGTGTCTGGGTCTACTGTATTCCTCAGACTGTTATGTTCATTATATTCCGTATATAAGTGAGATCATGTGGTATTTGTCCTTCTCTGCTTGGCTTCTTTCACTTAGGATAATACTTTCCAGTTCCCTCCATGTCGTCTCAAAGGATAAGAGATCTTTCTTTCTTACCGCTGCATAGTATTCCATGGTGTATATGTACCACAGCTTTTTGATCCATTCGTCTACTGGTGGACACTTGGGCTGTTTCCAGATCTTAGCTATTGTAAATAGTGCTGCTATGAACATGGGGGTACATATATTCTTCCTGATTGGTGTTTCAGGCTTCCTAGGGTATATTCCCAGCAGTGGGATCACTGGGTCAAATGGAAGTTCAATTTTTAATTTTTTGAGGTAGCACCATATTGTTTTCCATAGCGGCTGCACCAGTCTGCATTCCCACCAGCAGTGTATTAGAGTCCCCTTTTCTCCACACCCTCGCCAACACTTGTTGTTTGATGATTTGTTGATGGCGGCCATTCTGACAGGTGTGAGGTGATACCTCATTGTTGTTTTAATTTGCATCTCTCTGATGATTAGTGATGTTGAGCATTTCTTCATATGTCTCTTGGCCATTTGTATGTCCTGTTTGGAGAGGTGTCTATTCAGCTCCTCTGCCCATTTTTTAATTGGGTTCTTTGTCTTCCTTTTGTGGAGTTGTATGAGCACTCTGTATATATTGGAAATTAACCCCTTATCTGATACATCATTGGCAATGATGTTCTCCCATACAGTGGGTTGCCTTTCCATTTTGATTATTGTTTCTTTTGCTGTGCAGAAGCTTTTTAGTTTGATGTAGTCCCATGTGTTCATTTTCTCCTTTATTTCTGTTGCCTTAGGTGATGTATCAGTAAAAATTCTGCTCCGTATGATGTCCGAAATTTTGTTGCCTACATTTTCTTCTACAATTTTTATGGATTCACGGGTCACATTTAAGTCTTTTATCCATTTTGAGTCTATTTTTGTGTATGGTGTAAGTTGATGGTCTAGTTTCATTTTTTTGCATGTAGCTGTCCAATTTTCCCAACACCATTTATTAAAGAGGCTGTCTTTACTCCAGTGTATGCTCTTGCCACCTTTGTCAAATATTAATTGAGCGTATTGCCTTGGGTCCATTTCTGGGTTTTCAGTTCTGTTCCACTGGTCTATATGCCTGTTCTTGTGCCAGTACCAGGCTGTTTTGGTTACAGTCGCTTTGTAGTATAACCTGATATCTGGTATTGTGATCCCTCCAACTTTATTCTTCTTTTTCAAGATTGCTGTGGCTATTCGGGGTCTTTTTTGGTTCCATATGAACTTTTGAAGTATTTGTTCTAGTTCTATGAAATATGTCGTTGGTATTTTGATGGGGATTGCATTGAATCTATAGATTGCTTTGGGTAGTATGGACATTTTAATTATGTTAATTCTTCCAATCCATGAACAGGGTATGTGCTTCCAATTCTTTATATCTTCCTCTATTTCTTTTTTTAATGACCTGTAGTTTTCTGCAAATAGGTCCTTTACTTCTTTGGTTAAGTTTATTCCTAGGTATCGTAATTTTTTTGGAGCGATGGTAAATGGGATTGTTTTTTCAGTTTCTCTGTCTGTGAGTTCATCATTGATGTACAAGAATGCCGTCGATTTCTTGACGTTAATTTTGTATCCTGCTACTTTGCCAAATTCATTTATTAAGTCTAATAGATTTTTGATGGAGTCTTTAGGGTTTTCTATGTACAATATCATGTCATCTGCAAATAATGACAGTTTCACTTCCTCCTTTCCAATTTGGATCCCTTTTATTTTTTCTTCATGTCTGATTGCTGTGGCTAAGACTTCCAGTACAATGTTAAATAAGAGTGGCGAAAGTGGACATCCCTGTCTTGTTCCTGTTCTTAATGGAAATGTTTTTAGTTTCTGTCCATTGAGTATGATGTTGGCTGTAGGTCTTTCATATATGGCCTTTATTATGTCGAGATATGATCCCTCTGTTCCTACATTGCTGAGCGTTTTTATCAGAAATGGATGCTGGATTTTGTCGAATGCTTTTTCAGCATCTATTGATATGATCATGTGGTTTTTATTCTTCATTTTGTTTATGTGGTGTATCACGTTTATTGATTTGCGAATATTGTACCAGCCTTGCATCCCTGGAATGAATCCCACTTGGTCGTGGTGAATAATTTTTTTGATGTACTTCTGGATCCGATTTGCTAGTATTTTGTTCAGGATTTTGGCGTCTATGTTCATCAGGGATATTGGCCTGTAGTTTTCTTTCTTCGTAGTGTCTTTTTCTGGTTTTGGAATTAGAATTATGCTGGCCTCATAGAATGTGGTTGGAAGTCTTCCTTCTTCTTGAATTTTTTGAAATAGTTTGAGGAGAATGGGTGTTAGTTCTTTTTTGAATGTTCGGTAAAACTCCCCCGTGAAACCATCTGGGCCTGGGCTTTTGTTTGCTGGGAGAGTCTTGATTACCTCTTCAATTTCCTTAGTTGTTATTGGTCTGTTCAAGTTTTCTATCTCTTCCGGGAATAGTTTTGGGAGACTGTGTGTTTCTAGAAATTTGTCCATTTCGCTGAGATTGTCGAATTTGTTGCCATATAGTTGTTCGTAGTAGTTGTTAACGATCTTTTGTATTTCCGTGGTGTTGGTTGTTACTTCTCCTCTTTCATTTCTGATTTTGTGTATTTGCGTTCTCTCTCTTTGTTTCTTGGTGAGTCTAGCTAAGGGTCCATCTATCTTGTTTATCTTTCGAAAAACCAGCTCTTTGTTTCATTGATCCTTTGAATTGTTTTTTTGGTCTCTATGTCATTTATTTCTGCTCTGATCTTTACTATTTCCTTCCTTCTACTTGCTCTGGGGTTTTCTTTTTGTTTGCTTTCTAATTCTTTAAGCTGTGAGGTTAGACAGTCAATTAGAAATTTTTCTTGTTTTTTGAGGTAGGCCTGTAGTGCTATGAACTTCCCTCTCAGAACTGCTTTCGCTGCATCCCATAGATTTTGTGTTGTTGTGTGTTCATTTTCATTGGTTTCCAGGAAGTTTTTAATTTCTTCCTTGATCTCCTCGGTGACCCATTCATTGTTTAATAACATGCTATTTAGCCTCCATGTGTTGAAATGTCTTTGCATGTTCTTGTTGGAATTGATTTCTAGTTTCATGCCATTGTGATCTGAGAAGATGCTTGATATGATTTCAATCTTCTTGAACTTGTAGAGATTTAGTTTGTGTCCTATCATGTGGTCTATCTTTGAGAATGTTCCATGTGCACTTGAGAAGAATGTGTATTCTGTAGTTTTGGGGTGTAATTCTCTGTAGATATCTATTAAATCCATTTGGTCTAGTGCTTCATTTAGAGTCTCTGTTTCCTTGCTAATTTTTTGCCTAGAGGATCTATCCAGTGCTGTCAACGGGGTGTTGAAGTCCCCTGCTATGATTGTATTGTTGTCGATTTCTCCTTTGAAGTCCTCCAGAAGATTTTTAATATATTTTGGTGCTCCTATATTGGGTGCATATATGTTTATCAAGGTTATATCTTCCTGTTGGATAGATCCTTTCAATATTATGTAGTGGCCGTCTTTGTCTCTAGTTATGGTCTTCATTTTGAAATCTATTTTATCAGATATGAGAATTGCTACCCCAGCTTTTTTTTGCTTTCCATTTGCTTGGAAAATTTTTTTCCATCCCTTCACTTTCAACCTATGTGAGTCTTTTGTTGAGAGGTGTGTCTCTTGTAAACAACATATAGATGAGTCATGCTTTCTTATCCAATCAGCTACTCTGTGTCTCTTTATGGGAGCATTCAATTCATTTACGTTTAAGGTAATTATTGATATGTACTTATTTATTGCCATTTTTGTTTAGTGTGGTTCTATTTTTCTTCCCATTTCTACTGCTAATTACAGCAGTCCTTTTAACATTTCTTGCAGTGCTGGTTTGGTGCTAATGTATTCCCTTAGCTTTTTTTTGTCTGGGAAGCTCTTTATTTGATCTTCTATTTTGAATGATAGCCTTGCTGGGTAGAGTAGTCTTGGATTCAGATTCTTGTTTTTCATGACTTTGATTACTTCATGCCATTCTCTTCTGGCCTGTAGTGTTTCTTGTGAGAAGTCAGCTGAGAGCCTTATGGGGTTCCCTTTGTAGGTAACCTGTTGCTTCTCTCTTGCTGCTTTTAGGATTCTCTCTTTATCTTTGATTTGTGGCATTTTAATTACTATGTGTCTTGGTGTGGGCCTGTTTGGGTTCTTCTTACTTGGGACTCTCTGTGCTTCTTGAACTTGAATGCCTTCTTCCTTCACCAAATCAGGGAAGTTTTCTCTCACTATTTTTTTGAATATATTCTCTATCCCTTGCTCCTTTTCTTCTTCTTCGGGGACTCCTATGATGCGAATATTATTACGTTTCCAGTTGTCCCA